GTGTGTGTGTGTGTGTGTGTGTGTGTGTGTGTGTGTGTCTGTGAGTTCGCAAACATGACGTTAAACGACCACTACCTCCAAGCCTCTTTTTGCCGAGACGGAGTAGAATTGTGCACCAGCTTTGCGGAAGCGCAAGCGTGACCTTTTTTAAGCTTTTTTCCTTTCCTTTTGGCTGGAGTCGCCAGCCATTTCGGTCCGGTCGCACCCACGCTCCCAAGAATGCCGTATAGGTTATATTTTTGGTTTAGACTTCAAGCGTGAAAGGTAGTGGTGGTTTAAGCATGCACGGCAGGGCATACTCATACAGCAACCACACAACCCATCCGGTCCTTCAATCCTCTCCCACCCGCACATATGGCACAGTCAACCTGTAACACTTCCCACTGAATCTGGCTGTGATGGAGGTAGGATGCATTTAAGAATGCCCAAGTACCATTTGGTGATTTACATAATATTATATGAGAGCCCAGTTCAATGCTGTTGGTCATCCAAAAAACTGCCAATAAATGAAGTACCTGAGGCTTGCGCATGGAACTCCGCCACAGTTTGTCTGCTGGCGCAGCCTCACCTCGAGGAAAGCTGCCTCTCCTCCAGCATACTATGAAACCACCAGTACTTCCTTGAGTCGTGCCCGTTAAGGCGCTACGATTTTAGGAAACATACGGGCCACTATAGGAGCGCCCAAATTCATCCGACTAGAAACGTTTCTACTTTTTTTTTTTTTTCCCCGGCCGATAGCTGGGCCACGTACTGGTGGTTTAACCATTTTTGCACACGGTGTTCCAGACCGCCATATGAAGCTAGCCAGATGAGCTCTTCCGATACCTTTAGTTAAAAAGGGGTGGCCACTGACCTTATCGTATCCACCTGATTCGACCAGATTCAAGTCGGGGAAGGGGCCCATTACAATGTACATTATATGACCACACTTACACAACAGGACCACACACAAGGACACGGCCCGCTCCCCCAAATAAAAAATAAATAAAAATAAAAAACTTCACCACACCCACCCCCACCACCAAACACAAGAACGCACCCCCAAAAACACCTTCACCACCGCCCTTCCTTCTCCCCCCCCCCCCCCCCCCCCCCGCTCTGGCCCCCGGGTGCAACCCCCTGCAACCCCCTGCACAACCAAATCCCCAAAGCCCCATGAGGCCTCCCAACACGACCATTTACCCCTAAAAGGCTCCCCCAAACCCCCCCCACCACTACGGGGATGTTTCGTTGTGGGGAGTAGCAGGGACCCCCGGCACTCCCACCTATGAACCACACCCCATACGGCACGCAAGAGGATGCCGGGCAGGTTGTTACTGGGAGGCATTTTAGGGGCCAATGGGGGGTTGGGGAGGGGGTTGGGAGGCGGGTTTGAGGGCTTTTATCATTATGTGGGTTCCCGCCGAACGCGACCCATCCCCAGGTAGCTCCAGACGTGTGTGCGCCGATGGCAGGGGCACGTTCATTTTTTTCCCGCCACGTGCGACATGGTGCGTTCAAACGAAATTGATCGCGCCTTCAGGGGCACTGAACGCGTGCGTTGAATCCGTCACATAGATTCAAACTAACCATGTCTTTAATTAGAAAAAGCAGGTAGCCCCAACCTAACCTCACCATGTCAAACTGATTACATCAAAAAAAAAAGAAAAAAAAAAAGGATCAAAACTGACCGTAAGGTTAGTTGAAAGGGGGTAGCACCTACCTACCAACATTACCATCTCAACCTGGTTACATCAAGATTCAAACTGACCTTATCTTTAGTTAAACCACCTGTATTTGGTCCACCTATTTTTTATTTTTTTTTTCCAGCTATTTTTTAAACGTTGGGCCGTATATACGCTGCACCCTTCAGGGATCAGGGTCACCATTGATGAATCTCATCAACAGCAACTAAACCGGCCCCAGTTCCCAAAAAGGCTGCAGCGCTGACCCGTGGCAGAACACTGGGCCAACCAAGTACTGGTGGTTTAAAAAGTGGTAGCCCCTAACTGTACCGTATCCACCCATCAAGATTCAAAACTCACAACGACCAGAAAGATGGTGTCGGCATGCAGTACATCCTTCCTTTCACAGGAAAATTCGTAAACAATGCTGCTGTCTTCCAGTCCACTCAACCACAAGGAACGGAAGCATTGTGTGCATATCTGACGTTGGGGACACTGGACTTGGTTTCCAAATCTTGTTTTTTTTCCAGCGAAGACTCTCGCCGCATCTTACACAGTCATTCAGACCGTTTCTTTTCTCTTGAAGGAAAGCAGCTTTCGTCCACCTGTTTTTTTTTTTTTTTTTTGAAGAAAAACACCCCCTGCAGTGCTAGCGGCGCTGGTACAGACAGACACGGAATCTTTGAAAAAAATGTCGTCAAGTTTCAAGCATTCCCCAAGCATGATGTTCCGATTTACAAAAAGGGAAAAAAAAAAAAAAAGAGCCTCGCGCCCGATTTTCAAAAACACTCGCGAGGTTCTTTGAAAATTAAAGGACGACAGGGTCGGGAGTGGCCCGATTCAAAAAAAAAACTCGCAAGGTTCTTTGAAAATTACAGGACGAAAGAGTCGGGAGCGGAGAGGGCATCCTCCGAACTTGAATCATGGTAACGGGCAACACCTCCTCCGAACTTGAATCATGGTGACGGGAGTGTTGCCGTAGTGGCTGAAAGGTTGAGGCACAACTTCTCTTCCCTTTTTTTTATATATATTTTTTAATAATGCAAAGGACACCTTCCTCAAGCATTGTCCTTGAAACCAATTTTCAAGCACGAGTTCAAGCAGGACGCAAAAACTCCTTGAAATGGCAAGAATTGTCTAAGGGTAGGACCCCAAAGGACAGTGGCAAACGGTTTCGGAAGTCTTCAACTTCAAGCCGACTTGCCCACCGCCAACGGAGATGATGAAACAGAGGGGACCCCACCGCCACCGCGAAATGTTGCTTTGGTCACCCAAAAAGGAAATTCAAGGGCAGTTTTCCTTTTTGGGAAAGGTCGGGGCCTGGAAGACCATTCCAGGTCCCTTACCATTGGTTCTAATGGAAGGGCTGCGACTTCCGTCCACATGTGCCGGAGTACGCACCCGGGAGGTAGGTAAACGGACCGACTTTTGGAAAACGGGAATTCAGGGCCACGTAGGAATAAGGGGGCCGTGGACCAATTGGAAACGGTTAGCCGACGACTTCCGTGGCGGAAAAATCCGTATGTGGGGTCTCGGAAGTTGCCTCCCAATTTCCGAAACCGTTTACCGCTGTCCTGTGGGGTCCTACCCTAAGGAGGACTCGTCCTTAAATCTCAGGGGTTTCTGTTTTTTTTTTGTTTTTTTGTTTTTTTTTGAAAGCCCAGGGTGTTGTAGAGGTCGGTTTCTGGACCCACGACAGGTACATATCTACAGTCAGCAACTAATTT